CGCATTGTGTCCGGAAGGTGATAAAACAATACATTTTCGGTTGTTCGTCACTCATACGGTGATATTTGAAAGCGTTGCTTTACTCAGTAAAGTAACGCATCAGTAAAGAAAATGTGCCACCCCTAATAGAGATACTAAATTAAAAGAAAAATGTAGCTGATAGTGCTGGTCCATTTAAACGATCGTCAAAAATTATTTTGCCCTAAAAAAAAAAGATTTCTTTCTGAACAACAAAAGGTGACTACAACAGAAAAAGTAAAATTTAAATTTCTTTTTCTCTATTAATTAAAGTAAAGAATATTTTTGTAATGCATCAATTGTTAACTTTTGGAAACAATAAACTCAATATTAAAAAAAAGTGGCTACAACGTCCGATATACCCCCTTGGCTGTAAATCTAGCATCAAATGAAATAAAATGTCTGTATGCATGTCTCTTCATACGCACACTCTAAAAAAAAAGGTATCCTAAAAATCCAAAAAAAGGGTATCTGCATTTGTAACTAATAAGAACCAATTTGCGTGTCTTAGAACACCTTTAGGTTTTCTAGGTAACGTTTACGGGTATTTAAACCCGATGTTCTTTTTAAGTCGCTGGTAATAAATCAAAACGACTTAGTAAAATACTAACGAAAAAGAAATAATTTTATGTAATATTTTCAAACATATTATATGTTTGAAAATACCAAACTTGGATTTTACTCTGGAGAAAATCCCCTTTTGGCACTGTAAATAGAAAGAACGTTAAAAGCTCGCATATATGCGCATCAAGGCTCGGCAACAAAAGCTTGTCGCTTTCAGAAGTTATCTAAGATGGGTATGACTTTAAAAAAAGCTTGAAGGCATGTTTGAAAAAGTTGAATTTTTCTAAAGAAAAGCATTAAAATGTCCGGCTTTTACCCCAAATAGGTAAAAAATTGTGCTCTAGCCGAATATTATATTTTTGCATTCTTTATGAGACGCCTTCTGGAAAAATAAGGAGCGACATTACTGACGTTACTTTCTCTTCAAACAGCAGCACTATTTCTTTAATTTCCGCGCTATCTCAAACATTTTCAAACTACTTCTAAGTTCGCTTCGAAGAGGAGATTTCTTCTTCCATTGTAAAAATTCGTAGCACAATTTAAAATTTTTAGTGCAGTTTAATCGGTTCTCAATGTTCAAAAAGAAAGGGAGACTGAAGACACATCAAAACTTCGTGCACCTTTTTCAAAAGTTCTTAAAACAAAAAGGTATCTGTAATGCGAATCTACGAGAATTAGATCCAAGGACGAGTTAATGCTGTAAATTTTGCCAAAAGTTTTTAAATGCATCTTTTTAGTTAATTCATGGCTACAAAGCCATTTGGCGATGAAAATAGGCATAAAAGCTAAGTGTAAAAGATCTCGGTGGGAATGATAGCAAAGAATCTATATCCTAAACACCAAAAAGGGTTTTTGTAAAGCAGAAAAACCAAGGGGATCCTGCAATACTAGTTCCAGTATTTAAAATACCGTTCTGGGTATTTTGAAAAGATCAACCGTACCTTACAGAATCGAAAGAGTATTTTAAGAATGAAAATACCCTTTTGGCATCCTGCAAAACCAGTTTTGGTATTTCATAAAAAAATTATTTTATTTTGAGAACAAAAACCATTTTGGTACTTCGGGATATCAATCACTCGTAACCTACGAACCCTTTTTGGTATCGTAATGGTAATGATGACATGTGCTGATTAATTAAGAAAATTTTTCTCTGAGAACCATGCTAAGCTTTTTATGAAACTTGTAAAAAGTTTCATAAAATTTTTCATTTTTATGTAACTTGTTGGTTAAAAAAATCAACATCCAAGTTTCCTAAATTTTTTGAAACTTTTTACAAGTTTCATAAATGTGTGGTTTATGAAACTGGATTTATGAAGACAGGATATCCCGCCGCTAATACCGTCCATACAGAAGTCAGATGAGTCAAAGTAACTGTCGTGAGAGAACCTGAAGAATGGAATGAAGACGCATTTCATGTAGGCCTGATTTAACATCCTGTCTTCTGCTCCAGATCCTTGGAGTTGTCGCGTTTGAAGTTTTACAATCAAGGAAGCGCGTGATACCTACAGTTCACATTATTCTTGAATTGGGGACCACTACGCGCAAATAAGATATGGTGTTTAATGGATGTAATTTTGCTCAATTGAACATGAGTTCTAGAGTGAATTTAGGTTGCCGACCTCCATATAGGCCTGTTCCATCATCAGTACGAACTACACATGTGAATGAAACTGATGATCTAACAGGCCTACCCAAAATTGCTGTTCTCGAACGACCTCAAAATAATAAAAATTTTCTAAGCCGTATTCTTTTCATTTACTATTGTTTTTTTTGTTTTTAGTGTGCAACTGAATTACCAATTACATTAAAATTTCTCCATACTGGTTCTGTACTTCTTGTCTCTACAGAATCACAGAAATCTGCCGATAATTTCTGTTTGTTTTGGATTGCATATAATTTTACTTTAAATGTAACTGGTCTATTTTTAATTACATATGCAACAATTGAACGTTATTTACTCATATTTCATAAAACAATATTCTCGAAAAAAATTAATCTATTTCTATTTCATTATCTATCAATTTTATTTTCAATTATTTATCCACTATTATTTTATATTGGTGTCGTACTAATTTATCCGTGTGAAAATGAGTTTAGTTATACATCTTTTGTTTGTGGTCAACCATGTTATCAATTTAATGTAGTACCAACTTTAGTAGAATGTTTTCTAAATTTATTTACACCTGTTTGTATAACAACAATTATTAATCTATTAATAATTTTACGTGTACTAATACAGAAACGTCGTATGAAGCAAGCATCAACATGGAATAAAAATAAGAAAATGGTTATACAACTCTTATGAATATCAATTGTATATATTTTAACATGGGTACCATTGACATTTTTTCTTTTATTAAGTAATTTTTATACAACAACAGCACCATGGTTAAGTTCAATAATAGTGGTATGTACAGTACAGTTAGTACAGGCTAAATCTATATAAACCTACTGCGTTGTACAAAAGTACCTGAGGCAGCTACGAAACTTGTCTCAACGTGTAGATTTGAATGAGCTGAATCTAACGGCAAAAACCGTAGGTCTTCAAGGTTGTTATAAAAAAGGTTATTAGCATTACACTCTTCTAGCGGGGGTAAGCGGACGTTTCGTCGTTTTTAAGCGGATTTGACCTAAGTTGCAAAGCCTTCACTGCCTAAAAGATCTAACGTAGAACACTGAATTTAGTCTAAAATGAAAGAGCTCATCAAGTTCTATCTACATCGAAGAAAAAAATTATGTAACATCTTTGGGTCTTGAGCAAAAGAGCTCTGAAAACTCTGATTTTCTAGAAGACCTAAAGATTTTCAAGTTTATTTGGAAACTCTTTTGTCCGCTCCAGTGTCAACCAAGTTTCGATGGCGATGAGCTACGGAGTTACAGACATTCTAAAATTATTGGCATACATTCAATTGGAAGAATTTACATTGGTGCTAAACTTTTTATCTGCATCGTATTTTCTCGGTTATTCTTTAATAAAACTAATGGAAACGTGCTGGACGTTGCTTTTTGTGGGGAGTTGTACGAGCTATCTAACGAAATGGACAGAAAAATTTCCAAATGAATTTGAAGATTGTTAGGTTTTCTAGAAAACCAAGATTTTCAAAAATTATTTCCTCAACACAAAAGATCGCAAATATTTCTTTATGGAAATTGTGTAAAACTCAACTCGGCCTTTCACTTGAGGCAAAACTGAAGGTACCACATTAAGTAAGGCGATCAAGAGACGTTTCTGAACTTAGGCTAAATCCGCTCGAAAATGGTGGAAAATGTACTTTTCAGCTGGAAGAATAAAATACCAATAACCTTTTTTTGCCACAGTTAGAGACTTGCGGTTTTTCAATGGATAGGCTTCATATGGATTATGTTTCTTCAGGGGGAAAAAACTTTGTGTTCTTGTGATTTTCTATTATTTATATCTTGTACGTTGTTTAAAAGCCGATAATGTCATCTCTCTTGCAATGTTAGGCAGCCTGTTTTTGATTTGATTATTCAATTCTAGGATTATTTGAATTATGTAACATATTTAGCTGCACTTGTATGTCCATTTGTTTGTATTATGGCTTTATCCGAAGTACGAAAAAAATTAATAATAATTTATCGCACTACGTACTGTTATAGAATGATTCCGCAACAGCGTGTACGACCATTATTAACAGGAGTTACAGGAACAGCCATAACTGCCAACGGTGGCGGCAACGAACGTGGTGGTGATACGACAGGAATGATGTTGAAACCAATGACATCAACTGTTGTTGCCACTATCAGCGGCGGTGGCAATTTTGTGCCAGAAACAAAAAAACGATGAATAGTTATATAGTTATAGATTAAGTAACATTTTAGATTCCTAATTGTTGTTGTTCTACTACTGCACCGCTACTACAGTAACGCATTTTAATACTGTGGGGGTATTGGAAGGCAATAAGAGTACTTCAGCTCACTGAATAATGATGAAGGCTCAATATGTTTTAGTGCGCTCAATACACCGACATTTCCACGAAGACTTATTTATCGGAAAAGAAGAATAAATGAGCCTGGTTTTGTGTTTTCTACATCATGTTTTGAAACTTGAGCGATTTATGTGGTGAATAGCCATTATGTGATACAGTTGCACACATACAGTTTCGCATCATGAAAATATGTTTTGTGTGAAACTACTTTTCGAACTCACTCTCACATCATCCACCTCCCACGACCAAAAATGCCCAAATGTGTACTATGAAAAATTCGCGGAAAAGTCGGAGCCTTGTTCGCAGTAATGTCATTCGCGGAAATGTCGAGTCACGGTACGTTCTCCTACCGCAAAATCTTTCCTTTTCTAACCCATGACGACTACCCACTACTATCCATTTCAAAATACGGTGATCGGCGATATTTTTTCAATTTCGACGAAAAAAGCTAGAACCGTGCGGTTCTCTCTTAAAAGACTTTGTTCTCCTAACTTTCATAGTAAAAATCCTTCTTCACTCTCAGATTTAATTTGGTTTTCATCTAGCGACGGCAGAAAAAGTTCTCGATAGAGGTATGTGGTGGAATTTGCACTGATGAGGCACCTCTCACAATACACACTTCGATAGCTGACATTATTCAATCAGAAGAAACATGCTTGGATTGTGCCTCGATTCTGTCTGCGGATTTGAAAATATTCAAAAAACCAACGAACCAAAGAAATAAAAGTTTTCTCTCCATTCTAGAATTACACCATAATTCAGTCACATCATCGTAGAAATAAGTATCTTCTGACTTGAAACCGTGCGTGGTTGAATGATCGGAAGCTTTAGGGACCTAAGAAATGTTTTATTTTTGTAAATTTCTATCGTCTCTTCAGTCCTGAAGAAAGATAAAACTTTTATTTCTTGGTTTCACTGCATTTTGACTATTTTCAAATTAGTAGATAGGAAGTTCTACAGAAAACTAATGAGAAAAAGCCAACAAAACTGCGCTGATTTGATTCTAAAAATATATCGATTGCACTCAGTTTTTCAAGTTCTTTCCATTAATTCAGTTGAAAATTAGTTAAATCAATTTAAGAAGAAGAAACATGCGGCGAACCCATAACTTTTCACCGGTAAAAAACGGATGGTTTTCTGTAAAATCTGTTCTGGTGAAAACCATGACCAGACAAATACAACCAAACATATATTCTGGAACAGGAAGCTCAGTTTTACTAGTTCACGTTGCAGGATCCTGAAAAAAGTCTTCGTACCGGCGAAAGCGAAACAACCTATAGGTATAGAGTGAACCATCAATTTTGCACACTACCGTATGTGTTTCAAGAGCTTTTGTTTAGTCAACCATTTTTCATGCACAATAAAATTCTAGTAAACGATCTAACTATGCGCAAAAATGATCAACAGGACAGCGCTACTATACGACACCATAAAATATTGCCAACTAAATATCAAATAATTTATATTTGAAAAATAATAATGGAAAGATAATAAGCTCACCTTAATCAAAAAGTAACAGCATAAAACAAAATAGCTTAGAAAGTTGGTCCTTTCGTCATGTTGAATATTTTTCGTTTCATTTTCTCCTCAACTTTTTATAGAAATCAGTTTATTATAAACTTTTTATTGAAAAAGAAAAAAGAACGATTGCGCAAGCGGCTTTCGCCATATGTGCGCCTTAAAATGTGTAAAAAAGAACGTATAATGAGCTTAGAAGGAGAAAGGAAGAAAAATTTAAAGAGAAAGCTCACGCACGAGATGGTCATTTGGATTTTTGGATATTCACTTCTACTGTTCTACTTGTATTGGCAGCGAAAGGAAATGGAAACTTCTCAGAATCGCACCGTCCGTAGTATGTATCGGCATATCTCGTTTAGAATAACTTGACTCTCGCCCAAGCATCTCCCACAAACTCCCAATAAACTAGCCACCGACACAGAAGGCAGGAAGCTTAGACCGGATAGCAGATCGGTTCTTTCTAAAACATACGTTGAACAATCTAATAAATAGTGCTTTACTGTTTCGTTAGCTCCTCGA